ATTAATAATATTTTATTTTAATCAATTATAAAATTTAAAAGTACATATTTTGTAAGAACGTCATGGACTACATGATTGATAAAACAATTAATATTTATAAATATAATATCGTAACATTGCTCAAATATTTTACGAAAAAAATAATTTATCAATTCTAACTGAAAAGAATGGCATGCAATCTGAATTAATAAGTAAATACTAAAGCAAATAAAATGTAAGTGAAAATATAACATAAATTCAAAATCAAAAAAAAAAAATTAACATAATACTCTTATGTAAAATTAAAACATAACATAAAATAAGTTTCAACATAATATAAGTAAATATAATTCGAAAGAAAATGAAAACATAAGTCTATAACCTCATTCAACAATGATTCTACTTTAATGACATCACTCATTATATGCTAAGTTTATTCATGATTCATTATTTTTAATATTAGGAGGAGTAGTTTCATAACTAGAATAATAGCACAATTATGCTAAATGAAGAAAATAAAATAAAAAATATGAGCGACTACATGGAATCACAAAAATAAAGATTGGAAAATGAGAATATTATTTAAATATTAAAAAAGTAATCTATCATTTTAACGTAGTTAAGTTTGCATATAACCTGATCCAATAATAAAGTTCAACTTTAATGACATCACTCATTATAAGTCAAGTTTGTGGATGACTTATTCTTTCAAAACTTACGAGGTATAATTTTGTGAAAAAATTAGAATAATAACATAGTTAAGTGTAATAAAAAAATAAAGCAAAATAATTAAGAAAGAAACAAAATATGAGAAGTTATATAGACGAAATATTTTAAGATTACATACTCATTGATACAGGGTACACGCGCAAAGCGCGTACCCTAAGACTAGTTTTTTTTAAAAGAGAAATATATACTATTTTTTAGTCGCTCTCAAAAAATAATAGCCGATAATATATATACATATTTTATTACAATGATGAAAGTGGTTAACCCCTCATTGTTACTACAAAATTTTATTTTCACTAGACCTTTCTCTTCTTATTTCTCTATTCTAGTCCATGAAATTTAAAAATAGCCAGATTTATGAGTGAGAATTGAAAAATAGCCACGATTTCAAAAGTAATCGAAATAGCCACTTTTCATGTAAAGATAAATTCGGACGAGAACATTGTTCAAAATTCGAAAAATATTCCAGCATAATATACTGGAGTTCGAATTTTTTACATGTGAACTTCCAACATAATATACTGGAGTTCCAGCACAATATGCTGGTCTATCATAATATGTTGGAAGTTTTTACACAGGTGCTCCAATCTCCAGTATATTATGCTGGAAGTTCATACACAGATGCACCAATCTCCAGTATAGTATGCTGGAACTTTTCGTGTTGCAGTAAAATAGAGCTATTTTTTAATGACTTTGCAACGGTTGACTATTTTTTAATTACCAAGCCAAGAAATGGTTAGCCCGTGCTATTTTCACGTATTTGGCGGATCCACTTTTTAAATACAAGTCCAACAATGAAATTCAGTGGACACCCTTGTTAGGCCCAATAACTGCTTTGTTTGTACAAGCCCAATAACTGCTTAACATCGTTAAAATAGCACAGTATAGTCAGTTTTCGGACTGGTCATTCAAAAATAGTCACCGTTTACGATATCAATGAAAAATAGTCACTATTTTGCTGCAACAAAGACCGGTCTCGCATAATATACGGGAGTTCGGTGCATCTCTGTACGAACCCTAGCATATTATGCTGGACCAGTATATTTTGCTGACTCCTGTATAATATACGGGAGGCTGGAGCACCGGTGCTCCAAACTCCAGTATATTATACTGGACATTTATACTTGTTGGAACTCCAGTATATTATGCTGGAGTTCTAGTGTACTTATGCTGGAACTTCAACATATTATGCTGGAGTTCCAGCATAGTTATCCTGGAACTCCCGTATAATATGTTGAAGTTCAAGCATACTTATGCTGGAACTCCAGTATAACATACGGGTGTATTTTCCGTGTTTTGAACAATATTTTCGCTCAAATTTATCTTTACATAAAAAGTGGCTAAATTTCAATTACTTTTGAAACTGGACTGTTTTTAAATGACCAGTTGTAAATCTGGCTATTTTTAAATTTCTTCCCTTAACATCTATAAAACCGAAACAGTATATCAACTTTGCGTAACCACAGTTTGTAAGTACAGCATTTTCTTCAAATAATAACAAGAATTATATATAACATATATAGATGGCAAATTGACATAGCTTCTTGACTTCTTCTCATACTTATCGAAAAAGCATGCATTTTGTTACTATCCGTATTGCATGACATACATGTTGTGATTATCCTAGGGGTGTCAAATGGGCGGATTGAGTCAATTTTGGGCGGGTCAAAATAGGTTGAGTCAATAATTTGAGCTAAGACGGGTTGGATCAAAATAAGCTAAAATTTAGGTCATAGTCCAACCCGCCCAACTCTTATCAATCTTTAGTTAGTATTTGTTATATTCTTATGAATTGTATAATTATTAAAAAATATATTTTTTGTCTTTTGTTATGGTCATATATAACATATCAAACAAAAAACAAATTTATTTCTAATATATATATTTTTTGCAAAGTTACTCCTGCATCAATTTGGGCTAAAAAATTAAGAAATTTTTACCTCCTATAGCAAATGTTAACACCTTATTTATTTTAAATAAATACCATTTAAAAAAATTATATTCAATAGATACCTTTTAAATGTTTATAACAAAATATCTAATTTTGGTAACCTCCTACCCCTAAGCCACTAAATACGTTATTCAGTTACACTATTTTCTTTCTCTCTATACTTTGATACATGCCATTCTTTTCCCCCATTCCCTGAAAACACGATACTCAATCTCAAAATTTCTCTCACCCACATCACCTACCATTAGTCACAAACAGTGATTTTGCCTGCATTCCATGTGAGATTCAGTGAAGAATTTCACAATTTATCTACAGTGAAGAATTGATGATTAAGAAAGCTGTGAAAAAAACAAAAGAAAAAGAAATCAGAGTAGTAGAAGCCGATGATGGGGAAAATAGAGCAATTAAAATCAATTGGGCTGCTGGTGCTAATTTTGCAATAGAAAAATCAAGAGCATGAAAAACAGACTACGATCCACTTGGTTTAAGCAATGAGGAATACTTCAAACCAGAAAAGCAAGAACAGAAAGATAATGAAGAGGCTAAAAGGGAAAAAGAAGGTGAAAAGGAACGTTATTGTTAGAGTTGCAGCCCCAGTAATTCAGGGTTTTTGCTCGATGACGGATTCGCCGGAAATTAGGGTTTGTTCTTGAACAAAGACGGTGAAGTTTGGGGCTGAGCAACTTGATTTTTTGTTAATATATTTCAATGTATTTTTATGTATTTTATTGTATTCATTGTCTTTTTTTTCCCATTGTAATTCAATGTATCTCGCTGTATTCCATGTATTTCATTGTATTCAGTGTCTTTTTTTTCATTGTATTTCAATATATCCGTTGTATTTTATGTATTTCATTGTATTCAATGTCTCGCTATATGCCATGAATGTATTCATATGTTTTTTTTAATTAATATAATTTATGTATTCAGATGTATTATATAATTTCTCTGAAGATTGCTATGCTTTGGGGGTATTTTTCGGTCGAGAATCTTTTTTTATAACTGGAAATATAAAATTTGTGTGTTATAATTGAGTTTGTTGAGTTATATTAGGAGTCTATTACAGTGTATTCCTCTGTTTCATGCCGTGAATACAGTCGAATACAATAATCTGTCCAGCCGTAATCCCATGTTTCACGCCATGAATACAGTCGAATACACTCGAATACAACAACTGATTAGCTGGACTTCCCTGATTCACACCTATTTTTGCTACTGTATTCATGAATACAATAGCTTAAATACATCTAATACATCTTATAACAACAGAAAACGTATACAATCCGTAATATAATAAATGGTATCTATAGATAGCTAATTACCACTAAAAAATAGTGTTTTATGAAAATTTCTCAAAAATTAACCCAATTTTAAATGGGTTGGATCAAGATGGGTTGAATTCAATAATGAGCGGGTCAATAACCAGCCCAATCTTGGGCGAGTTGGACGAGTCATTTGGGCTTGGGCCAAATTTGACAGACCTAGATTATCCCATTAAGAGACAACTTTGTGTTTTGTCTTTTTCAAAGAAAGCCTCCTCAATAAATTCCAGATTTGGGTAATTTATTCCGTGTATATACTAAGCCATGCCTAGAGAATTCTAAGATTCAACGAACACATACCATGGACGTTCTCTTGGTTGTATATAGCTGGCGGCTGCAAAGTTTGAACTGTCTCCCCAGTTCCTACACGTTTTATTTTCCTTTTTTTTTTTTGGGTCATAACATTTTATTTTCATAATAAAACAACTCACGAGTCACGACACATCATATGATAGGTTGGCTGGTGATATATACAAACCAAAAAATATTTATCTGCACTCTGTTTTGATCAAAATTTTAGAATTTGATCTTAAGAATTACATATTAAATAAAGTAAGAGTACGCATTATATAATTACAGTAAACCAATTAAAGTAAGAGTACGTATTTTCAAAAATCACTTTTTCAAAATTTTCAATTTTTTTTTTCTTATTCACAAAAGTACAATATTTTTTCAAGTAAAATGCATGTCCAAACATAATTTCAAATTCCAAATACTATTTTTCAACTTAACTCTAAATGCTTTTTTTTTCAAAATTGCAATTTTTATGTCCAAACGCCTACTTAATTGGGGGTGAGAATCAGACTTATTCAAGCGTTACGAAAATAGCTCAAATGGATAGATATGGAGTACTACTCACCTAACCTAAATTTAAACAATTTAAAAAGAAAAAAAATAATTGACTTTAGAAGTAAAACATTCGTGTTCAAAATGTGGAGAACATATATAAACTCAAAAAGCATGCCGATCAATTTTGCACAATCTATAGACAGCTACAATGACATTAAAAAATGCTGGCTTTCATTAATTAATAATATCAGAAAAGTACAAAATCTTCATTCTAAGGAAGAAAATAAAGAAAAAGGATATCTACGTGCATAATTACATTTGAAGAAAGAAAAATAAATAATTTAATTTGATGAATGACAAACACCAAAACTAAGCTCTCTACTAGTGTACAAAAATAAAGAAATGGAATATAAAAAGAAAATGAAAAAGAAAAGAATTAAGGCAGCCAAGTCCGGTGCACAAATTATTCCGCGTTCATGTAGGATCCAGGGAAATGCTGCATTCTATGAGGTGTGATGTAGGCAGTCTACCGTGATGTTGATTGATTTCACGACTCAAACCCGTAATCTATAGGTCAAACAGACAAGTTGATCGTTGCTCCAAGTCTCCCTTCCGATAAAGAATAGTATGAATAATCCAAAAATTGAAACAAAAAATCAAACAACTGAATTCTCTAGCTTCTGATAATCTGATAAATCCAAATAATCCTCTGCCTTTTCATCAATGAACTTTTCATCTTCATTATCATAATCACCAATAATTGAAGTAAGTTCTTTTGCTCTTCTTGCTTGATCTTCCCAATTAGTTTTGGCAAATATAATTAACATCATAGTCACTGCACATGAAGCTTGAGCAGCTAATAATCCCAACCATAATCCTTTTAAATCAAACCCCATATAAAATCCTAACCAAATAGCCACTGGCATTCCAACAAAATAAAAACATCCTAAATTAATATTAGCACCTAATTTAGGACGTGCTGTTCCTCTTAAAACACCACAACCTGTTGTCTGTGGACAGTTCCCAAGTTCACATAGTCCTATAATTGGCAAAATCATAGCCGTTAATGTCACAATTTCTTGATCTTGAGTAAATATTCTTGCCCAAATATTTCTTACCATAGTAGCAAAAAATAATGCTGAAATTCCTAATATTAAGCTTGAACATAGTCCAATTATGGCTGCTAATTTAGCGCGATTCGGACGATTAGCTCCTAATTCATTTCCAACTCTTGTTGATACACCAAAACTCAAAGAAGATGGAAAAATATATATCAAAGATGTTGTTTGAATCAATATTCCCATTGATGCAACTGTAGCTTGAGGATTAATTAAAAGTCCACATAATAAAATCATAATTTCGTACCACCACCATTCTAGGCAAACACTAATACAACTTGGAATTGCTAAATTTAGAAGTGATTTCCATCCCTTTAAACACTCTGAGGAAATTCCATTCCAAGTTTTTTTATGTACCCTAGAAAATATAATATAAAGAATTAATGAACCAACAAGATTGAAATTTGTCCAAACCCCACTTAAGGCAACCCCTTTAATTCCAAGATTAAGTACTATAACAAGAAAATAATTTATTGGGATATGGATAAGAATAGAAAAAGCAGCACAATAAGTTAGAGGTAATGTTATGGATTGTGAACGTAGATAAATTCTAAGGGGGTGTAAAAATGACTGAGTTAAAAGATCAGGAAGTGAATAAAGAATGTAATTTTGAGCTTGTGTTGCAATATTATGATTTTGGCCACATAATATCAAGAGTCTTTTCATGTATAGCCACAAGAATGAAATTGGAATTGAGGTTAAAAGTAGCAAAAGAATTGTCCTTTGTAACGTAAGACCTAAAAGCTTGAATCTTTTTGCACCAAAAGCTTGTCCACAAATTGGTTCCATTCCCATGGCTAAACCAGAAAGAATTGAATAACCGGTTATATTTGCAAAACCAATAGCGAGCGAACCGCCGGCTAAAGAAAGCTCGCCGAGCCGGCCAAGAAAGATCATGGAAATCATTGAACGAGAGTAAAGAATTAAGCCTGTGAATATCATTGGAAATGCAATATTAGCTATGCATTTTGCTTCTAAAATTGAAAGAGTTAGATGATTTTTTTGTCTAGGAATATAATTGTTATGTTCCTTTTGGTATTCTATTGTTGGATTTTCAGAAATCAATGGAGTCAACATATTTAACAAAAAAAAAAAAAATTGTGTATATGAATTTTCAAAAAGGAGGTAAGTTTAAGGGGTTTTTGAAGGAAGGAGAAAGGGTTTTAAGGAGTTTATATGAGTTGGCGTTGGCTTTTTATAAGGGTGCAAATTTGGAAATTTTCTTTGTTTTTTTTTTTAGAGGAAAAGATATTTTGGTTGACTAGTTGTTTGCAAATAGAGCCTCCAAAATTTTCCAACTCAAAAGATTTTGAATGTTTCTAATTGAAAATGTCGTTTTATAACCGACTATCTATTGACTATATATATGTCACTATTTGGCCTGCTCAAATCAAATACACAGCAAGATTTTCAAGAAAGATGAGAAAAACTTACACTAAATCCATGTCTTTCGAGCCTTGAACAAAAAAAAAAAGACAATGAATGTGGTAAACGTAGTTGGTCTTTTTACGTTAAATGGGTTGTTTTTGTGTATTTATTTTGGTAGAAAGTTTTTTGTGTGTAGAAAATACTAATATTTCTATGAAATAATATTGTATAATCGTCCTCAAAATAATAGCCGAAAAATATATATATTTTGTATATATATATACCTTTCTATGTTATATACAGAAATTATACATATTTTATATATTTTTTGGGCTATCAAATATAAATAGTTTTTAGCGCGGGTTAAAGTTGCAAAAAAAAACTTTTTATTTCTGTTTTGAAGGCACTTACCTTAGATAACATTGTTTAAGGTATGTGTGGAAAGAGGCAAGAGAAACTGTTGGACGGTCATTTAAAGCCACTATTAAAAATAGATTTGACTATGAATTGAGAGGCAGAGGCAATTCAAAGCCTGCCGTTTCAGTTTGTGAATTAATACAACGTATGAATATTGCCAAATAAACAGTTCAATTCTCCAGCTAATTAATAGGAGTAAGATTTATCAATATATTTATGTTTGTTAAGAATACAACCAATTTGTTTCAGTAATGGATTATTTAAATTGCCGAGAGAGAGAGATGAAAGCACGAATCTATATGCAATCAAGCTTATGGAAAACTATAGGGAAAACAAGTCAGCAAGGCATACACGGAAAAAAAAGTCTAAAAAATATGTGTTGCCCGATATACAAGGTATTTCGTGTTCACGAAGGATTAATTTGGGGAAGGACCGCATCTTAAGGTGTGTGACGTAGATAAGCTACCCTACTGTAAGCATTAGTGACTGCTTTCACGACTTGAATTCGTAATCTATAGGACACACAGAGACAATTTTACCGTTGCTCCACGGCTCCTCTTTGAAAAGAAAAGAAAATAAAAAATGCTGACAACGTCGTAAGTGATATGATAGTGTAAAATCTTCTTACATTGTATAAAATTAGTGAAACTTGTAAAGTAAATATGAATAGAAGAAGTTAAAACCAATTAAGAAAATTATTATTAGCAGAGTTACTTAATATATATGCCAGTGAAAGGTAAGATGTACCTGATAAATTTGTCAGATGTGCACAAAATAACCAGAAGATTATGTACCAAAATAAATAAGAAGCAATAAAAACACCTGTGCTAAAAGAAACTAGCCGACTTTAGGTTTAATTCCAAATATACGAAAAAGCAACGGGATGATACAAGTAACTCTAAATTGGTTGTTTAGGACGTCCTACAATTAATTTAACCCCATTTCTTACCCAATTAACTAAATTTTAATTAGATGCCAATCTTTGTCCCCTCTTTTGTCTATTCTAATATTTTTTTTGGAAACCAAAAAAATTCGTAGTCGCTACAACTTAGGGTGAATCGAACTCTCATCGTCCGTGTGGACAATATTATACAGGGTATATAAACCGCACTAAATAAGTCATGTACGATATACTCAAAGCTAGAAGACATTGACGATGAATCAAACTTTCATCGCTCGTGTGGACAACACCCATCCAAACCAAATGGGCCGTTCCTTCGAGACTTCTATTATACTATTCACTTGTCTACTTTTGTCAAAATTCTATGCCATTTGTGACTCGTGAACCACTAGTTGCAAAATTGGAACAGAAAATTACTAGAATATATATTATTATGCTAAGAAAAACAAAGAAAACGATTCTATTTTGTCTCGTCTTAGGCTTAGGTTGAAGAAAAGACAGCAAAATAGACAAACATTTGAATACGACAAATACAGTGTTTTTCTCGCGTGCGGGTAAATGAGCATGTGAATCGTGGATTTTTCGTATCGTGGCATGTTATTATACTGTACAAAGTACTGACACAAATTCTTGTTCATAGCCGACTAAAAGGTCCAATTAAACTTATCCGTTCAGTCCAATTTAAATAATGTAATTTAATTTCACACAAAATTTAAGTAACAAAAAAAAACTTTTGAAACGCGATCTTACAAAACTTAAGAGGCAAAAGAATTATGAGGTGATGATATTTGTATGACTATAAATTTTTTTTATTAAGGATAAAATGAGTAAATAAAAATTCAATGTTAAGTTATTTTTAAATATAAAAATATATTATTATTTTTTAAACGGACTAATAAGGAAAGTAATTGAAACTGTAATTTATATGCTTACTTGTATTAACCAAAAATGATATTTTTGCTCTACTTATACAGGGATAGATAAATTAGAACTAATTAAACTTCTCTAAAAATTTCTCTTCACTTTTTCAACAAGCAATTCCAGATCTGAAAAAACTTAGAGCTCGTCAACGGCGAAAAGCTTCCAGATTTTTGGAAATTCTTCACCAAATGAATTTCATGTGTTCTTCACCCAAATACTAAAATCAGAATTTAAAATACGAATATGTAGGCAAAAAAAAAAAAATCAACTATTTATCAATACAAATCACAAACACCCAAGAATTTCGATTCTCCAGTTTTTTAACTTTTCTAATCCATGAATGGTGGGTTTCAAAATAAATCACTATTTAAACCATTTGAAGCTGATTTGCATTCCTTAAAGGTGTGGAAATTAATTCGAAAAACCAGCATGAATTAGTGTTGGATATTGGGTTTGGGTCGCGGGTCGTCCATATGGACTGACCCGGCTTGTTTTTAAAGGAGATATAATTAAGGCAAGTTACCTAGGGAAGGTTTAACTCCTAAAATAAAATTATCGCACGTTGAGAAGTAAGGGGGAGCGTGGGGATCAACGTGGGTCAGTTTCACGGTAATTTTTATTTTCTCTGACAACTTCCCCTCTCTATATAATCAACACTCCCCTTCTTCAGAAATATAGACTCTGAGATACTCTTCCTACAAAGATAGAAATACAGTAAAAGAAAGAAAAATGTATTTAGTTCGTGAACAAGAATTTCGTTTTCAAGAGAGACGAAATCGGATTCGGGCAATTGATTGGAACAGATTCTGCAAAAATCCTCCGCTGTTTTTAATAGGTACACATATTCGATATCCCTGTTACTCGAATTTAACTGACAATGGTATTAGAGCCAGTGATATTATTTTCTGGTTTACATCTTCTCAGTCGATGCTATATTTTTTATGACTGTTACTGCAATTTTCTTTGGTACTGTTGCAGTAAAAGGTAGAAAACGTCATGTTTGATAACAATTCTAGAATTGTGAATCCTTACTGGAAAGGGAACAAAGTTTGTTTTGTAGTATAACTATTTACCAATTAGTTTGTTGACGTCAAACAATTGATTTTTGGCTAATGTCCAATCTATTATTCATATCAGAAGTTTTCTTCATACTTCTTTTTTGTCTTTAATACTTATATTTGTTTTAACCTTCTTTGCCTATTATGGTGCTTTAAAACAATTTTAATTTTAACAGAAGTGGCCTAGCACCATGTTATATCACAGAAAGCATAAGTTAATATTTTCTGTGAATTTTTTCTTGACATTCGCAGAATGTAGTGATGAATTCTTTTGTTGCTAAAAAGAAATAATTAAATTTGGAAAATTGTCACATATATTTCCAGGAAGTTTTCATAAAGATTGTTATTTGTTAGACCAATCTATTTAAGTGATGGCTGGTTAAACATAATTGGTGGAATAGAGCTTATAAGCTTACTATCTTGCAAGTCTATGGAAGTCAGGCAAAAAGGTCTACTGATTTCTTGAGGAATTTCTCCAATAAGTAAATTGCTTCATAATCTTAAATACTTTTTGTTATATAAAAAAGGGGTGAAGGGAAATTACCTGAAAATTGGTTAAACAAAGTACACGGAATGGACGTTTGGTAATCTTAATGTCTATCATTGTCTATTTCATTGAATTAAAATTAGTTTAGTCATAATCCCTCAATTGATATTCTTCTACAAATAATTATGATATATGTTGTCACATTGAGTGGTTGTAGTCATTCTTATTGTTTCCTTGGTCCTATTTCAGATATGGCTGAACAGGGACAAGTTCGAATTACTCCAAGTNAAGTCATCAGGAATGTCCCAAGGGCGAGGCAAAATGAGTTAAAGGATCGAAGGGCTGAACGAAGGGAAAGAGAAAAGAAATTTACGGAGTTTAAGGAATTTAAAATGGACCCGGATGCTTTCGTCCCTGAACATGTACACCTTTTAAAGATAAAAAGAGCTGAATTGGCTAATTACGTAGAACTTACTGATTGGGAAGCATTAGCTATTTTAGAGGACTCTCTTCGAGAGCCTTGGGGCGAAATTTTAACTAGATTTATCATGATGTTTGGTCTAGTGCACCTTTTAGCGTATATGAGCAAAAGTTAGTGTTCAATTGGTATATGGATGTCTTAGCAAACTTGTAAATTGTCATTATGTGTTTTATCTTAATGAAATTTATATTATGTTATTTGTCTCACCAGTTACATACATTGTTTATTATATTTTTTTAATGGATTGAGACTTGAAATAAAGTACACACTAAGAAGTGATTCTAATATTAATTCAAAATATTTAGATATAGATGATGAATGGAAACGTAGTGACCGTTCGATTCTATACTAAATGTAAAATTAATATTATAATTAATTTACTTGAGTGTGTAATCACATGCATAAATTAACTGAAGTATATATATTGATGAGTTAAACTTATAATATTGTCTCTAATATCAGACATGGCATCGAAAAGTATCATTGCTGACTTGAACAAGGGTGACAAACT